GGCTCCAGCTGCCCTCTGTGTCCTTGTATAGTCACTGACTCATAGGGCACTGCATGAGCGTGTGTTTGGATCGCAAGGAGAACGCGCCCGTCAAAGCGATCCGCCCTAGCCCAGACACGAATTAAAAGTGCCGCGTACACCCTAGGGTAGGGTTTACGAGATCGACCGATCAACTGAGAAAGCAGCTTTCCTGCCTTCCAGCCAGCTCACTGAGCTCGGGGTGTGTTGTGTATTTGAAGCCTCTGTAGCCCTTTGCCCTTCGGGTTTTTCTGACCACCGACCACCACACAGGAATGATGATGCGCTGTGCCGTCGTCTTCGCTCTCGTCGCCGTGGCGATTGCCGAGCCGGGATACGACTACAGCTGCCCGAAGGGCTACACCCTCCAGGGGAAGGGCAAGGAGGCGACCTGCTATCGTCAGACCAAGACCCATGCCATGGTGAGAGCTCTCAGTCGGGCAGATCAGTCGGGAGGGCGCCAGGGGGAGGGAGGAGCGAGGCACATGCACGGCTGGCGGGGTCGGAGAGAGGCTGGGGTGGCTACATGCGCACAGATCTGCTGTGTGTGGGGGTCGCCATCTCTCTCTCTCTCTCTGTGTGTGTGTGTCTCTGTATAGTCCAAGTGCCCGAAGGGATACGAGCCGTCTGGCAAGGGCAAGGAGATCACCTGGTCAGCCGCACACACGCACGCACACACAGCGACACGGCCGACGTCATTCAATTGACGTCATTCGTGTCTCCGCCTCTCTCTCTGTGTGTGCAGCACTGCCTACGACAGCAAGCCCGCTCAGTACAAGTGCCCCAAGGGGTACGAGCCGGGTAAGGACGGCTGCACCCTCAAGACCACTGCCCCGATGGAGTACTACTGCCCCAGTAAGCAGACCCCCAGGCCACCAGCAGTGCAGCCATGCAGCTGATGTGTGTGGTGGGTTGGCAATGACTGGCAGAGGGTTATGAGAGCGGCGACGGCAAGGAGTGCCACAGAATCGACACCAAACCCGCCAGCCCCTACTGTGAGAAGGGCTATGACTACCACAAGGGCGAGTGCGTGACCTACACCCACTCCACCGAGAGCGTCGCTGCTGAGCACTATTGTCCCAAGGCACGCCGCACACACACACACACACACACTGAGCACTATTGTCCCAAGGCACGCCGCACGCACACACACACACACACTCACACACACGCTGCCGTCGGTGTGTTGGTGTCTGCAGGGGTACGATCAGAACGGCAAGGAGTGCACCAAGATCGAGACGGCCAACGCCCACGCTACTGCGAGATGGTCGGTCGTCTGCAGATATGCCCTCATCCATCCATCCATCCACTGTTGTGTGTGTGCGCAGGGCTACGACTACCACAAGGGCAAGTGCATCAAGTACGTCACCACCACCGAGACCGCCCCGATGCAGCATGACTGCCCCAAGGGCTACACCATGAACGGCAAGGAGTGCACCAAGGTGTGTAAGCCACACAGGACAGACAGCCATTAGATGTCTACGCCATCTGGTCACTGTGTGTGGGTCTGTGTGGTGTGTTGTCAGCCCAACTACGCCAACATGCTCACCTACGCCAACATGCTCACCTACTGCGACAAGGGCTACACCATGCACAGGGGCAAGTGCATCAAGTACGAGACGACCCGCGAGACCGCCCCTGCAGAGTACTATTGTCCGAAAGGCTACACCGACGCCGGCGACGTGAGCCATCCACACACACACACACACACAGAGAGAGAGAGAGAGAGCGAGAGAGAGATGGCACGCCACTCATCATGCTTATGCCCTCTGTGTGTTCTGTGTGTGTGCAGAAAGTGCGCCCGCACCTCGTCTGCCCACGCCCGCGCCTACTGCCCCAAGGGCTACACCCTCCAGGGCAAGGACACCTGCGAGTCCTACAAGACCGCCGAGCCCGAAAAGTACTGCTCCAAGGGCACCGAGACCAAGGAGGGCTGCGGCAAGCACGACACCGTCCCCAAGACGTCATCGTGCCCCAAGGGCTACACCGAGGGCAAGAAGGGCTGCGAGCGATGCTACACCAGCAAGAAGCACACCCACTGCGACTACACCAAGATGGTCCACTCGTGTCCCAAGGGCTACACCATGAACGGCAAGGAGTGCACCCGCTTCACTCCCCACCCCTGTAAGCCACACACACAACACACCCAACACACACACACAGGCAGCGTGATGATCCACTCGTGTGTGTGTGTGTGTCGGTGCGGTGCAGACGAGTACAGGTGCCCGAAGGGCTACACTGAGGGCTCTGGCAAGCACAAGAAGATGACTTGCTACACCAAGGAGACCAAGCCAGCCTCCCACAAGTGTCCCAAGGGCTACGACGGAGAGGGCAAGGAGTGCACCAAGACTGACTACGTCAAGAAGCATGGGAAGTGCCCCAAGGTACGGTGCACAGCACACGGCGGCAGCCCCCCCACCCGCACACACATATGGCTGACTCATGGGATGGCTTTGTGTGTTTGTGTGCAGGGTTACGACGAGAGCCACGGCAAGGACAAGTCGCTCGAGTGCTACAAGCACGTCACCGTCACTGTGGAGGGCCCGGTCCACAACAAGTGCCCGAAGGGCTACGACGAGGCCGACAAGAAGTGCGTCAACTACTCGACCATCAAGGCCACGGGCAACTGCCCAAAGGGCTACGACGCCGGCAAGAGCAAGGAGTGCACCAAGGTCGGCCACCAAAAATCCACCACACACGCCATCCAACACACACAGATGCACTCAACCAACTGTGACGTGTGTCCCTCTGTGTGTCCCTCAGTACGTCACGACCCCCGCCGAGACGCCGATGCAGTACAAGTGCCCCAAGGTGCGTGCGCAGCACACGGCGACAGCCCAACCACACACATGGATGGATCGATGGCTTTGTGTTTGTGTGCAGGGCTACGACGACATGGAGGGCAAGGTAAGCACGCCGAGCACACGACACACAGATGGATGGATGGATGGACAATGTCCTTGTGTGTGTGTGGACCAGACCTGCTCGCGCGTCGTCCCGACCAAGGCCCTTTCTAAGTGCCCCAAGGGCTACACGATGAACGGCAAGTCCTGCGACAAGGTCAGTGAGACCACAGCACAGCACAGCTCAGCTCGCCATTTGGTCATTCTGTGCGGTGGTGTCTTGTCTGTCTGTCTGTCTGTCTGTCTGTCAGCCCGTCTCGACTCGCGTCACTGTCCCTCCGCAGCACCGGTTTGTTAAGGGCTACGACCTCAGCGGCAAGGTAGGTTCCCTCCCTCATCAATCACCGCTCCATGCCCACCTCATCAAATCTGTGTGTCACTCGGCTGACTGCAGGAGTGCACCAAGACGGTCACGGTGCCCAAGCACTCGAAGTGCCCCAAGGGCTACAGCAAGGGCAAGGAGTGCGTGAGCTACAAGTCGGCCCCCATGG